TCTGTCTCTGTCTGTATGCCTTTCTGTCTGTCTGTATGTCTATTGCTTGTTTGTTTGTCTATCTGTCTCTGTCTGTATGCCTTTCTGTCTGTCTGTCTCTCTATCTATCTATCTATCTATCTATCTATCTATCTATCTGTCTGTCTGTCTGTCTCTTTGTTTGTTAGTCTATCTCTTTATGTATGCCTTTCTGTCTGTTTATCTGTTTGTCTGTTTGCTTGTCTATCTGTCTCTGTCTGTATACCTTTCTGTCTGTCTGTTTGTTTGTCTATCTTTCTCTGTCTGTATGCCTTATGTCTGTCTGTCTGTCTATAGTGTTATGCATACAATAACTCCGAGTTGTGCACTGGCCTGCCTCGTGTAACTTGGATGTATCTCTTTATCTCTCTGTATCTTGGGATAATGAGAAAAGATTTAAATTAGCGCTGACACATTTTTATACAAGGCACTTTTTTGGCAACTTAATTTGCCCAGATTAATATCTTGTAATGTATTCATGCAAAGCTCAGGAAAGCGGCGTCTGAAAGTCTCAAGGATTGGCTAATCATATTTCAATCAGGAGGAGAGAACAGGTTTGTGGAGACCCCATTAAGTCACGAATGAAATGCAGTCTCCCAGCCTGTGCAGTCTAATAATATATACTGATCTGTAACAGTCACAATTCATTTGCATCCCAACCTTGAAGTTGCAAAATACCATTACTGGGAAACAATTCGAAAAAATGAATTATTCAATGAACTACAGAATTATGTATTAGCTGACAATTTCCAGGAACTGCAGGCAGACAATAAACAGGAAAATAAAATTATTTTATTGGTTACATTCCTAATGTTACCTTATTTGAGCAGATCTTATTCAAAGCAAGGCAGAAATGAATTGTAATCATTCCAATTATCTTCAAGATACAAGTCTGTAAGACTCCAGTTGTCAGAGAAGAAAATGCATTCTTGCTGCTATGTGCTTCCATTTTCCAGACGTTTGCCCTTCTGCCTGCTTGACTTAGTTTGGGGTTTTTTTCTGCATACTTGGTTTGTGTTAAACTTTCTCTATGAGCCTTGTGATAGATTGGGGCAGAATTGCTCTGGACAGTTACAATAGGGCTGCTGCAGTACACAGCTCGGCCTCCAGGGGGGTTAAATCTAATATGGGTTTCAAAGCAGAATATTTGGGGTAATAAGAGAATATATCTATTTTCCATGGTTCTCTCAGTCAGCCTGGTAAGCTAAGGTTAGATATCACTGTATACTATATTGTTAAGGTGTGAATAGAATTCTAGAAGGGTTTTTTTTTACTAAATTGGGAGTGAAATCGAATTTGTTCATATTTAAATTTGGCTATTTTGGCCTATATGTAAATATGTACTATGAACTCACTACAGTTTCCAATTAAGACAGTAACCCTGGAAGGCTTATTCAATAAAGTGTACATTGTTGGAAATTCAAAATGAATTTGAAATTTTGGGGAAATATAGTGAAACTCACATAATTTCGCAAAGCAGTTATTTTTTTAATTTGGCTAAAATATGACATTTCTTCAGGAGTTCGAACTGTAACAATATAGAATTCACATTGTAAATGTTAGGCAAAAATTGTGAAATTCTGTAGAATTTCTCCAAATCAACTGTCTTGGCCTAATTTATTTCAATTGGCTACAATTTGAGTTTTAGTAAAGAATTGTCTAAAAGTTAGAAATAATACAAACTTAATGAATAATAAAATGAAAGTAAATACAGAGGGAATGTCATTTTTGTGTTTCAATAATTCAAACTGAAAACTCAGCTGAATTGGAGAATTTTTCAAAATTAGGCATTTTGTGAAATTCTGCCTAAAATAGGTCAATGGGGGGGAAAAAACATCCAGTTGGCAATAATATAGCAGACCTTTCTCCAACTCTGTGTTCTAAAATTGTCCCAACTTACTATTTAGTGTAGACCACTGGGCCACTCGATTTGGCCAATAATTGGTTTTATTTTTTTATTTTTTGGCAGTGGGCATTTTCCTTTTCTTTAGAGAAATAAGACATATTTTGTTATAGCGTTACCATGGATTACTTTTTAAAATTGATTTATTTATAACCAGACAGATAGATAGACAGACAGACAGACAGATAGACAGACAGACAGACAGATAGATAGATAGACAGACAGACAGACAGATAGACAGACAGACAGACAGACAGACAGATAGATAGATAGATAGATAAATAGATAGAGTGATAGATAGATAGATAGATAAATAGATAAATAGAGAGAGAGAGCTAGGTTTGTATTGGAATCTGTTGGCTTTTGCATAACAAACGCACATTTTAACATCATACAGCCATAAATTTGTATGTTATAAAAGTGATATATTGCACAGTTTCACATTTTACCATCTTAATAACAAGTTCACAATTAAAGGAACAGATAACGCATGATTTGTTCTGATTTAAGTTTGCTTTACCTTGTGGACTATGTCGGGATCTGTGCTGAGTCAAGGCATATGGGGGCAGTATGACTCCATTAATAAGTGATTACTTCTAGTCTGCCAAGCACAGGTGAGAGAAACAGGTCTACAGCAAAACATTGTGACACAGGGGGAAATCAAACACTATTTAAACCAGTCTTACTGGCAGTGAAAGAGTTACATTAAAATAATGAAATAACTTTCTAGTAACCTTAACAACATGGTTATAAATATGTTTAGTATATATATATATAGCAATATTCAATAGGCTATAAGGAATAATGATTGCAATCATGTAGATTTTCCTAATTCCTGTTGTTTAAAGTGTAAGAATTGTGTTTAACCTTTTGTGACAGGGACACACATCATGAAGCATGTCACTCGGTGACCCAATCTGCAGATTGATAATCAGTTCAGTCCTTTGATTTTATGTAAAAATTCCCTTCAAAATCTACCTGTTAAAAAAAGATTTCTGTGTTTATTCTCCTGGGTTGTCGAAACGTTGCTAAACTCTGAACATCGGTACTTCTAACTTTGACAAACGATCTCACTTCGACAGATTCGAATTTGGGACAAAACAATCTGTGACCTGTAATGATAAATGTCTCTCAGAGCACGTGCTTTCAATAACATCCCTTAAATGACTCTGATATAGTGTGTGAATAGTTACTTATAGATTTAACACCTTTTTTTCCTAAGGAATAATTAGTCTAATTTTCCCCTTTTTATTGTGATAGCCAGTTACCCATCCGAATGCACTATTGGCCTGTAACCAAGCATTAAAACTGGGTTTTATGTAACTCTAATGTGGCATGGCTGTGTTCTTTAAACTGTGAGATCCAGGATTTTTGTAACAAATAATAAATAAGTGTCATTGTCTATGGTGTTACATTTCTTCCTGCCCCATGAACAGCAAGCCATCTCTGCCTTGTAACAAGAATTCTGCTGGCCAAAAAGACCAATTCTATTACCTAGCACCTGCAGACTACAGAACTCTAAATTAGCATTGATATAGATTTAGTTGAAATGTAATCTCTTAAATCTGCACAAGATGTGGGGAGGTAATTATACTCCCCCTGCATTGCTAAGGGTCAGGGTCTCTGTGGACCTGTAGGCATGATCTACCAACAATGGGGAAACATAAGAAAATTGTGTTGGGGATTATAATGTTAATATATTCAGCCACAAGGGACTACCTGCAGAAAGCAAGCCATTCAGCATAAGTTGGTTCCTTTCCATTGCATGGCTTCTAATCCTTTCTGGTAGTTAATTACAAACGAAAAAAAGATCTGTTGGAAATTACACAAGCAAAACTAATCGATTGTAATATAGCATTGTCAATGGCTTTCTTCTCAGATCTCTAAGGTTTGCTGGCCCATCTAAAGGTGATTATAGCAAGAGCATACATGAGAATAAATGGGGAAACATCATATTGAGCCAACGTTTCGGATCCATCAAGGAATATTCTACAACAATGTGTGTGTTTAATGCATTGTATTTGAAGATATATGTATGATTAATAGGTATAGGGGCAATGGAGTGGAATTTCGTATGTTAAATAATGGGCACATACATAACATAACAGACAGACAGACAGACAGAGAGACAGACAGACAGATAGTTATTAGATAGATAAATAGATAGACAGACAGACAGAGAGACAGACAGACAGACAGACATATAGATAGATAGATAGATAGATAGATAGATAGATAGATAGATAGACAGATAGATAGATAGACAGACAGACAGAGAGAGAGAGAGAGAGAGAGAGAGAGAGAGAGAGATACATTTGGACCTCTAGGCTTTTGTATAAAAGACCCACATGTATTAGATCATCATCCTTCACACATCAAATATGATGAGATGTTAAAATATAACATAGCATTCATTTAATCATGTTAAATATTTTTTTTCTAGATTGGTAAACATTGAATCAGACATTATATATATATGACCTTGATCGATTTATATCAGTGGCTACACTCTCTCCTATACATATAACAGAAAACATGACATTAGCAAACATGTTTAGAGATTGGCTATTAGGCTAGTTTAACCCTTACCTGTGCATTGCCAGGAAGGTTGGACTCACTCATGTCAATGTAACATGCATTTCAGAGATGCAATTGAACTGTCACTTTGCAAACCAGCTTAAGTCACTGAGTGAAAAGATGATGATAGGTCGCCTTAAATAAACTATATCTCTGTGCTGTGAATTGGACAACTATATAAACACACAAACATGCAAGTATACACACAAACAAAAAAACATACATGCCTAGCTTTGTAAATAAACGTGTACAATGGAGATTATTACCTTTCAAATGTTACAAACAGAAAAGGTACATTTTTACTCCATAAAATGCTTTCTAACAGACAGACAGATAGATAGACAGACAGACGGACAGACAGACAGACAGACAGACAGACAGACAGACAGACATTAATTTATTATTTTTATTATTTATTATATTATAAACACTTGATCAGAAATAATGACAAACAAAATATACAAAACAGAAACTTTAAAAAACTTCAAAAAAGTAATGTTGTATTCTATTATCATATATATATATATATTTGTAACACTCAAATGAAATATGTTTTTGCACGAAACCGATGTTTAATTTATTTATTTGAAATCGAAAACGACAGATATTAATAATGACATTTTTGCAGACAGTTCTTAATTCAAACCATTATATGTTTGCTAGAAATAAAATGATTATATAACTGAATCTTCGTGAACGAATATAAAATATTTGTATAACAAGCACTGGATATATTTGTCGAATAGAATACCATTTTTTATGGTTTATAAGAAGCCACGTGTGAAATAACATATCTTAACAAGTGTAGAAAATATTTGACGAAAACAATGTAAATATTATTGTATTTATCGGTGTAAATAAATCACACTGTGTGTATATCGCTCACCCAGTCCTGTCATTCTATAAATCGCTCTATTAATGAATATTCAGAGCCTCTGGATTGGGCTTGTAACACAGACCGTGTGATGATTTACAGCAGCTGAAACAATTAGTTACAATAACAAACTTGGTTCGACCTTTACAAGTATTCTATTTATTGTCCCCAGGAGTAAGAAAGGCCACAGAACAAGTCTGATATAAATCCCCAGTCATTATAAAGCATTAAATAACTGGCCTGGGGGGATAAAACTCCCTGACATATTAAATACACCTGTGGGCCAGGGATAGATAGATAGATAGATAGATAGATAGATAGATAGATAGATAGATAGATAGATAGATAGATAGATAGATAGATAGATAATGGATAGATAGATAGATAGAGAGAGAGATAGACGATAGATAGATAGATAGATAGATAGATAGATAGACAGATAGACAGATAGATAGATAGATAGATAGACAGATAGATAGATAGATAGATAGATAGATAGATAGATAGACAATAGATAGATAGATAGATAGATAGATAGAAAGATAGATAGATATAGAGATAGATAGATATTAGATAGAGAGAGAGAGAGAGAGATAGATAGATAGATAGATAGATAGATAGATAGATAGATAGATAGATGATAGATAGATAGACAGACAGACAGACAGATAGATAGATAGATAGATAGATAGATAGATAGATAGATATAGAGATAGATAGATATTAGATAGAGAGAGAGAGAGATAGAGAGATAGAGAGATAGATAGATAGATAGATAGATAGATAGTGGATAGATAGAGAGAGAGAGAGATAGACAATAGATAGATAGATAGATAGATAGATAGATATTAGATAGATAGATAGATATAGAGATAGATAGATAGATAGAGCAAGTCAGAGGTGAGATACAATCTGTGGATAAGAGGGTTGAAGAATAAACTCAGTAGAGATCAGAACAAGACACGTACAGAGCAGCCATTCAGAAAAATAATACCATGGATCATTAGCCCATTAAGACATTTAATAAGAAATAAACTACAGTCTCTGCTTGTAAACAAATAAGGCCCTAAAACAAAATGCAAGATAACTTTCAACACCCAACACCAAACAGAAAAACACCAAACATCACTGATATCCCTCTGGAACCCAAACTGGAACTCCATGTATCAGGACCATATCCACTGCTACTAGTACTTATGTGGGGCTAGGGGTGGCCAGCAAAGGTAGCCCCAACTACCATCATCACCAGAAACGTCAGCATTACTACAACTCATTTGGCAAAGCATCATGGGAGTTGTAGTTAAGATTTACATTGTTGGTTTAGGCTCCCAATTCCATCAGGAGTATTGAGGGGTGGGGGGTACATTGTGGCCACCCCTGAATGTGGGTCCCTGGATTCCAGAGCCTCCATACAGCAGGATATCACAGATGCCCACATTAGGTCACCCTAATCTTATATGTAACAGCAATATATATGTTAATTGAAAACTTGTGTATGTAAAAGGAAGGTGGCAAGTTATAATTTTGCTTGTCAATGTCTGCAGTCCCTGTTTGTCTCTGCTGAGTTCTTTCTGGCTGTCATGTAACAGCTGCAGTCACTCTCTGACTTCCTGTTTGATGGCACGGAAATAACAAATGCTTCGGTTTTATCCATACAATTTATTACATTATTGTAGCCAGCACGAATCATCACAATCAATCACAAGGAAGGCCACTTGGCAGGTGTCAATCTTGGTGTTTTTTTTGGAAGTTCTAGTCTATATTTAATCCAATTACAGGGGTCAAGGCATAAGTGCAAATCGCTCCCCCACACCCCCCTTTTAGAATTGGCATCTTTATTCAAGATTTTCTTTAACCCTTTGAGGGCCAGAGGTGCTCCTGGCTCTTTGGAAAGCACTGAATTGGGCACCTCTGTCATCCAAAGGGTTAAGAGTCAGCTTTCATCACATGGATAGAATAGAATGTAGATTTTTTTAATTGAATATTTATTTAGTGTTTTGTTTAAGTTTGTTGTTGTTTTTTTCTGTTACAGAAAAATATAAATATTATTGTTTTTTTATGTATTTTTTTTTTTTGTGTGTGTGTGTGAGCAAAATCTAGTTATTTTGCTGAAGGAGAGGGGAGCCTAATGATGGGAGATTTTTACGCTGGCTGCGCTTTCAAATACAATTGTAGATCGAACTCAGCCTTGTCAGGTTCAGCCAAAGTGAATTTTTAACATCCAGGACGTAGCTGTCGACTTTGTGCGAATTGCATCCAATCAGCCCCAGGGAATGCAGCTAATGTTTCAGTCTATAGCCAGAATGAGGGAGGGAAAAAAAGAAAAATCAAACATTTGGACAGAACCACGCTTATTATTAAAATACTTTAATGGGAGTGAGAATGCAGGACAAATTGAATAAACTTGGAAGCAAATTAGGAATACATGTATCTTGTTTGCAAATAAAAAAAAATAGCATAAAGACACAATGTGTCAGAATATATTTCATAATCTGATACTAATGTTGTTTCCACACTTGCTGTGCCCTGTGGCTTAACCCACTCACCCCCAGAGAAGTGAGAAAATCACGGTACAGCTTGATATCAAATATTTCTCCTTATTTTTTAATTTTATTTTTGGAGGGGGGGTTATTGGACCTGTCCCAGACAGTGTAAGGGATACTTTATTGCTGAGGAATGCATAGGGCATAATCCACCAGCACTCATGGGGTTAATAGAAAGGAGATTCATATATTAGAAATGCTGATATTTCACAGGATAAAAGTATCGGATTTACAAGCGAGGGAGGTTATTTACTAAACGGTGAGTTTGGAGAAGAGTGGCCAAATGAGGAACAGAATTGGAATATATATAGATATTATTATTATTATTATTATTATTATTATTATTATTATTAATATTATAATTTTTATTTTTATTTTACCGGAGAGAGTTAGATTAAATTGTGCTGATTTACACAAGTCGGTAACTAAGTCAGTGTTCAGTAAATAAAGATATAGGAAGCATATCTCTCCGATAAAATAAATACTATATGACTTTTCTATATATTTTAAATAAAAATGATATATGACATTCTTTCAAACTACTGTATATTTATGTAATATTCTTTTTATTAATAAAAATAATGTATAATATATAATATACAGTATATATTTTATTAAATAAATAAATGTAAAAAAAATATATATATATATATACACACACACACACCTTTCTCATTTGTGTGTAATATATGATGGTATGTAAATATATATATATATTGTAATAGATATTATTAATTATTATTATTATTATTATTATTATTATTAATATTACAAACACCATAAAGCATAAACTATATGGCAAACTATGTGTGAATTTTTTTGCTCTCTAAACATCTCTTTCAGTTACTGGATCACTGTGTCAATTATATTGCTTTACCGCAGGTCAAATGTTCACCAGTTACAATGTCACAGAGTGATGATCACTTACCGTTTTGAGGGGTGAGTTACAGTATCTCCATAGACATATTTCTTCTCCATTCCAATCAGTGTGAGTGTGAGTGAGCCTGGTACAGGGATGCTGAGAGTTGCTGGGGCTGTGCTGTACTTTCTCATAGCTCTGCAGTCTGTGCAAAGCCACAGTAAACAAATTGTCCTGATGTGCTTATTATTATTGCTCAGATTATGCTTGGATAGAGAATTAAAGCTCATTATTATAGTGTGTGTTGTGAATTGCTCAGTCTATGTGAAAGCAATGGGTTTGAGGCATCCTTCAAAACTTCAAGTCTACAGAGTAATTGAAAAGTACACTATTTATTTCTGTCCCATAATATACATTGGGTCTCTTCTGTTACCTTGTTTTATGACCACAGTGACCCAAACTAAGACAAAGTCCCCAAGATCATCCTTATATCATGGGAATTCCTGGCACTAAAACTAAATGTGGACTTTAATTCCCATCATCCACAATCAAATAATTCCTTGGTTTAGGTTTCTGGGAGTTGTCTTGTACAGTATTTTAAGAACATAGAAACATAGAAGCACACATTCCACCTGCTCATCCTCTCTGTCTTAATCAGAAAAAGTTCTCATTTGTTTTATTTTCACTTCTTTAATTTTTTTGCTTTTTTTGAACAATCTAGAGCAGTATATTGATAAACAGAATAATGCACCAGGTTTATTCATGTCTGGTAACGTTGAAAAAAAAAATGAAAAAAAAATAAAACATGTCTATTCTTAGTATTTCCACCTTCGGAATTCTATTACACAAACTCACACAATATGTTAGTGATGAACAAAAAAAAAAAATAATAATAATAAAAAAAAAATAAACCATTAAAATAAAATTTAAAAAAATTAACAACATCTTCATAATAATAAAATAAAATAATTAATAATAATAATAATAAATAAAATAATAATAACAATAACACAAATCGAGAACATGTACAGTTTGCTGCTAAAGAAAGTTTTTCAAAAAATGTCCCCAATCCCTGGCTTAGTTCTCAGCTGGTGGAAAGAGAGGGTTCTTGCAGTAAGAGCTGCCAAAGGGTTAATGTGACCCAGTCCCTCTGGCGTATTTCTGTGTTTTCCTAGATCCTGGGAGAGATGGAGCCCCAGCCCTTTTGATATTGGCCTGGCTGCTGT